TGTTTTCAGGACTATAGCTCTGTAATAGAGCTTGAAGTCAGGGATGGTGATGCCTCCAGAAGTTCCTCTATTGTAGAGGGTTGTTTTGGCTATCCTGGTCTTTTGTTTCTCCATATAAAGTTGAGAATTGTTCTTTCAAGGTCAGAGAAGAATTGTGTTGGGATTTTGATGGGGATTGCATTGAATCTGTAGATTGCTTTTGGCAAGATTGCCATTTTTACTATGTTGATCCTGCCTATCCAAGAGCATGGGAGATCTTTCCATTTTCTGGTATCTTCTTTAATTTCTTTCTTTAGAGATTCAAAATTCTTACGGTACAGGTCTTTCACTTTTTTGGTTAGTGTTACCCCAAGGTATTTTATGTTGTTTGTAGCAATTGTAAAGGGTGATGTTTCTCTGATTTCTTTCTCCACCAATGTGTCATTGGTATATAGTAGGGCTACAGATTTTTTTGAGTTAATCTTGTATCCTGCCACTTTGCTGAAGGTGTTTATCAGCTGTAGGAGTTCCCTGGTAGAGTTTTTCCGGGTCACTTTACATAAGTGACTATCATATTATCTGCAAATAGTGAAAGTTTGACTTCTTCCTTTCCGATTTGTATTCCCTTGATCTCCTTTTGTTGTCTTATTGCTCAAGCTAGAGAAGTTCTTTCTTTTTTATTTTTTTTTTATTTTTTATTTTTTTGGTTTTTTGAGACAGGGTTTCTCTGTGTAGCTTTGGAGCCTATCCTGGCACTCACTCTGGAGACCAGACTGGCCTTGAACTCACAGAGATCTGCCTCCCTCTGCTTGAAGTTCTTTTTTTAACACTAATTTAGAACACAATCTGACACTCTAGTAATCTAAAGTCATTTTGCTCCAGTATTAAATATGTACTTCATTTCATGAATTTCCCCATGTGTGCAAATTAACCATTTCAAAGACTCAAATGCATATAAAATTAATAACCCTGAGCATGGTTAATAGCACGACCATAGTTAAACTACAACTTTAAATCCCAGTTGCAGTCCAAAAATCTTTTTATTGTTGTTTTGTTTTTTGAGACAGAGTTTCCCTATATGGCTTTGGAACCTATCCTGGCACTCACTCTGGAGACCAGGCTGGCCTTGAACTCACAGAGATCCACCTGCGTCTGCTTACCAAGTGCTAGGATTAAAGGCATGTGCCACCAACTCCTGGCTGCCCAAATAGCTTTTAATATTAAAACCATATGGGCTTTACACAGAGGCTCATGGCTTTAATCTCAGCACTCAGAAAGCAAAGGCAGATGAATCTCTGTGAGCTCAATGCCAATGCCTGCTCTACATAGTGAGTTCCAGGACATTCAGAGCTACATAGTAGATTTCCTAACCAAATTAACATTTGTCCTGTAGTGAGTGGCTTTAGCATCAGTGTAAAGTACACCAGAAGAGCAAGTTCAGATATTTGTAAGACCCCTGTGTTAAGATAACAGCAAAAGGTCAAAAGGTGGGGATTCATGGATCTACCCTGACAGAAAAGAGTGGGCAAGATTTAAAGTAGCCAAAGATGGCTGGAACCGAAGAAGCCCCTGAAGGAGAGGCAGAGGTAGGAATGGGGAAATCAACTATGGAATATCTGATATCTGCCAAGTGTTGGCTGCTTCCTTCACATCTTATCAGTTCCTTAAATCTCGTGTTTACTACATGAGGAAAGCAGATGGAGAAACTGATTCATGGGAACCCCTACAAGTGGCCTAATACAATAGATCCCGTTTGTTTCATTCTCCATTGTAGTTCTGTGATTTTGCACCATGCCCTGTGCATAGAATGTTTAATAAATATTGTTACATAAACAACCTGCCCTGTCTGTTTTCCTGATGAGGTCTATCTATGTTAGTCAAATTAATTCCTTCTGAGCTGAGATTTACATGTATTTCACAGTTGCTGTAACAAAAACCAGAATATTTTCATTTTCTGTTCTGATTTAATTTCATGTCTTTGTAACTAGCAAAGATATTGCTTATCAAAACATCTGAGAAGTTGAGGCAACTACAGAATTAGCAATTTCTTTGGAATTAATACAATTGAGTTTTTATTGTCCCTTATCCACTCCAATATATATACACGTTCAGTTACTCCTCTATCCTACCACCCCTTCCCACTGTTCCAAGTCCTATATACCATGTATTAACCTTTCTGTTTTGGAAAAAAAATGTAGAGTGAGAAAAAAATGAACAAACTAGTATAAAGAATTCTCAGACTCCCCAGTATTAATATTTGATCACACTGGCTGACTTCATCGTTCTTGGTTTCTCTGTCTCTTTCTCTTTGTTTACAATAGATAGTCATATAAACAGGTAGACAAGGCCTGGCGGTGGTGGCACACACCTCTAATCCCAGCACCAGTTGGTGGAGTGGGGGTCAGAGGCAGGTGGATCTCTGTGAGTTCAAGGTCAGCTTGGTGTACAGAATGAGTTCCAGGACAGGCTCCAAAGCTACAGAGAAACCCTGTCTCAAAAAGCAAAAACAATAGACAGGCAGACAGATGGTAAAGAGATGTATATGCAAACATTTTCTTCAGAAACATTGAAAGTAAACAGTTGCTAACAAATGTTTATAAACTTCTTGTCCTTTAAATAACTCAGTATGATTTTCCTTTTAAAAAGACTATTCCCAGATGGGCATGGTGGCACATTCCTATAATACCACTACTCAGAAGGTAGAGGCAAAAGGATTAGGAGTTCAAGACCAACCTGTGACACATAGCAAGTTTAAGGCCAGGCTGGGCTAAGTTAGACTGCCTTAAGATTTTTCCTTACAGTTCTACAATACATGTGCCAAACCCAGGAATTTAACATTGGCATGACTGCTAGAATACTATTGCTCAAGCTACAAAACTCATGTTGCCAAACTGACTTTGCTTTATTTATTTTTTATTTTTCTTAATAATCTGGAAAAGGCGCTTGATAGCAACACCATCACATTTGGCTCAGTGACACAACCTAATGAGGTAGAGACTGGACTTAAGAGGCACTTCAAAGTAAGGGACCCTCCCTTCCTAAGATGCTTTTCAAAGTGGCTTTCCCTGAGGGTGTTAGGCAGATCTTGGCTGATAAATCTTTGGTCGAAATGTACAAATTCTTGGCATGCAGAGGTACAGTCTGAATGCCACTACAAGTGGTTAATGAAGTACTCAAAATGAAATGGGAGGTCAAGGTGATCCCACGGTTGCTCTTTTCCGACTTCAGTAATGGTGCGACTTTGCCCCAACTGCCACCCACTGGAGGTGGCAACCGGAAGGGGTTGCTCTGGTTATGTACATTGGGTACTGCAGAATGGTGCCCATCTTGGTCGTGAATTGTCTGGTCAGACTGGCCAAATTATGGTAGAAAGTTAGACCGGCACAGACACCATTCCCCTCCGCAGAGCTATTGGATGCCCCCTCTACTTCCTGAAATTGTTCTGGTGTTACTCTGTGCCTTGCCTGCTGGACATCAGATGGCTGTGCGAGGGCTTTGGGGGTTGAATCAATGGTGGTCCTTTGACTGGCCACGGGTTGGCCAATGCCAATCCTCCTATCGTGCTGGGTAAGGGTAAACAGGTGGCGGCTCAGGGGAGGGGGGACTACTCTTTGCCAGGTACTTCTTGGATTGATGGACGACCTCCTCGAGCTGAGGCAAGGGGTTGTTGGGTATCAAGATCATTGAGGTTTTCTGGTGCTCTGGAAGGATAGCTGGGCAACGCTGACGATGAAGACATCCATGCTAGACACTGGATATCGGCTTCCTTCAAACACCTAGGACTGTGAATCCTCAAGGTCTTCACAGAAGCGACCCTCATTCAAGGGCTGCCATGAGGCGCATGGGGATCGTTGAGAAAACTGGGGACAGAGTTCAGCGACCCATGATCTTAATTTTCATCGCTACCAAAGTCGTCCACCAGGATTGTAAATTGTTGCTGTTTATAATTAGCTCTCCTCGCTGGGGGTTGTTCGTTGGCACCGCTGTCCCTTGGTCCTCTCTTGTCATCCAAATCAGGCTTTGGTCCTGTGGATTTATCTTCTGTATTGTCTCAGTGAGTGGCCTGATCATCCTTTTGAGCGAAAGGGTGGAGAGTGGGACCCTGGATGCCTCTGATTTGCAGAACCGATGGCCCCCGAAAGCTGTTCGAGCTTCTCTTGCTTGGCACTGAGGATCTCCTCTGCCTCCTGGTCCCCAATCTCTGTTTCTTCTTGTGGAATTCTGCCAGAATCTTAGTTTCAGTTTTGTCAAGTTCTAATCAGTTGATTTCCGGTTCCTCAGCATACTCTTGTAGTCTCTTCTCTGCTTCAGTGGCAGCTTCTCTCAGTTGTTGATATTGCTCTCCAACAGTGATGCCAACCAAGGTGCAACCGTGTGCTGTGGCTACTCCTAGAGCAATCACTGACAGCTGGGGAACAGACCAAGCTCTAAATTATTGACCCCAGACAAATTTAGGATCTGTGCAAAGGGAACAAATGTCCAGCAAGTCCTTCTAGTGCTGGCTTGAAGCTTTCAACTTCTGATCTAACTCTAATGGTCCTTACCAGTGGATGGAGAGTAACTCGGTCTCTTTTGTGCAAAATGTGATCCAAAACTGCCTTGCAATCAAGAGCCCTGAGAATCTGGCTTTAGTCACTGAGTTGGTCATTAGGGTCATGCTTGACTGTTAAATTGATCACTTGGTGTATCTACATAAATTTGAAAGTAAAGCTGGCTCTCATCAACCTGAAGATAATAATCATAAAGCCAGAGGTGATCCAACTTTGCTCTCTGTGTATGACAATTTGGCGTTGGACTTTCTCTAGACATGCTGCCTAACCTACTTCAAGTTTGGGCAGAAACAGTACAGAATGAGAGAAATGCTCCTACTTGCCCATGAGAGGAATGGTTCTACTTTGCCTGTGCTCATTGGCATTTTGGGCTAGAGCCTGGAGAGCATGCTTTGTCCCCCAACAAGAAGTGGTATCAGGGATGAACTAGGTTATTGCTGGTGCTATGGTTGAGTATTTCACAGGGTATTCCATTTCTTTCCAGATACTCGCATTCAGGACTTCCCCTAAAAGCTTCCTGGTTGCCTTCATAAGCATGATGAATACAGCATAATGTTACTTAACAGCAATCTAGTGAGTCTCCAAACTCAACTCCAGCTTCAAGTGTATAGATTTTCTGTGAACATAGCTCAGAAGACTCAGGTGACCCAAATAAACAAACAAACAAACAAACAAACAAACAAACAAAAAACTTGTCACAAAGGATTCCAAAGGCTGGGCTCCAAGATTCAGTATGCTATGGAGATTTTTATTTTTAAGTAAGGATCTTGCTGAATAACCCTGGACAGCCTGGTACTTGCTATGTAAGCATGCATCCAGACTGGTGTAGAAATCAAAGCAATCCTCCTGTCTTTACCTTCCAAATGCTGGGAAAATGTGTGTCACTACACCTAGACTTTACTTACCCTTATCCATTTCTATTTAATTTTATGATGGGACATATTGGCTGCACACATGTCTGTGTACCACTTTGATTTCTGGTGCTCAGGGAGGCCACAAGAGCTAGAATTACAGATATAGTTGTGGGCTGCCATGGTAATGTTGGGCATAGAACCTGGCATAGTGCTCTTAACCACTGAGCCATTTATCCAGCCCCAACTTCACTTTAAAACAAAAATAGAGTTAACTATGGTAAGATACTCAATAAGATGTCCTAAGTTTTGTCTTCCTATTGTGATTTCTTCCCATATTTTTAGGCAGCTCTCTCTCTCTCTCTCTCTCTCTCTCTCTCTCTCTCTCTCTCTGTCTGTCTTATTGGACCCTAGCGAGATAGCTCAGCAATTAAAGAAATTAAAGACACTGCTCTTTCAGAGGGAGCCAGGGTTCAATTTCCAACACCCCACGGTGACTCATAGTCTATAACTTAAATCTCGGGAAATCCAATGTCCTTTCTGGCCTCCATAGACACTGGGTATTCATGTAGTATACATACATACATACATACATACCTGCATGCATACATACATGCATACATACATACATACACACACATACAGGTAAATCACACATATACACAAAACAAAATCTAAAAGCATTATTTTTAATTTTTTTATGTGTACTCGAGAGTGCCTGCATGTGTATATGTATACCATATGCATGCCTGGTACCCAAGAAAGCTTCAAGAGGGTTTAAGATGCCTGGAATTGGGGTTGCAGGCAATGTGAGCCCCCATTCAGGTTCAGCGTTTCTCTGTGTAGCCCTGGTTGTCCTGTAACTCAATCTGTAGACCAGGCTGGCCTCGAACTCACAGAGATCTGCCTGCCTCTGCCTCCCGAGTGCTGAGATTAAAGGTGTGCGCCACCATTGCCCTGAACAAGTGCTCTTAACTGCTGAAATCTCTCCAGCCCTTGAGTATTCTCACTTTATTTTAAAAAGATTCGTTATTTTATTTGTATTTATATGCGTATATGTATATCTCTTTGTGTGTGTGCACTAATGTGTGCAAGTGACTGTGGAAGCCAGAAGAGAGCATTGAATATCCTGGATCTGGACTGTTCTAGTGCTGTGAAGAGACACCATGACCAAGGCAACTCTTTTACAAGAAAGCACTTAACTAGGGGCTTGCTTAAAGTTTCAAAGGTTCCTGGGTCAGATGTTCTTCCAGGCAAGCATGTGCGTGCCCTCTGATCCACTCGGTGACCCTACTACCATATCTGGGATTTAGTGCTCCTTCTTGAATTTTCTTTCATTTTCACCTTTTCATCAATCCACACATTCTGCTCATCCAAGTTGAGAGGCTACAAGAGCACTCAGAAGACCTAAAAAGGCTGTTTGTTTTGAGACAGGGCCTAACTACGTAACCCTCCTTGGTTCATTACTCACTATGTTGCTCAGAATGGCCTCAAACTTTCAGCAATCCTCTTGCCTCAGCCACCTGAATGCTGGAATAACTGAGATGACAACCACACCCTGCTATGAATAACTCTTCATTTTGGAAAAAGAAAATTCTGTGTAGTAACAAAAAATAAGTATTGACAGTCCTTCGGTAAATATCTGGTTATGCCAAAAACACAAGCTAAATTTGCAAGAAGAGAAGGCCAATCTATGATTTTAAAAGTGGGTGTATAGGTACATAAAACTCACTGCTGGACAAGCAAAATGGCTCAGCAAGTAAAGACACTTACCACCAAGCTGATGACCTGAGTTCAGCCCTTAGGACCATCTGATAGGAGAAAACTGACACCCACAAGCTGGTGCCCACTCTGAACTCCACATGGAGGCACTGTGGAATGCACTACATACTTGCACTCAAACACACACACACACACACACACACACACACACACACACACTCATTTGTGCCGTGTAAATTTAAAATGAAATGAAACATACTGCTTAGAAATTTGGCTTGGTTTTAATATGTAGGTTTTTTATTTTCTTTAGGTGTTTTGTTCATTAATCTCTTTTTTTTAAGCTCAGAATTTTTATCTAAACTTATTTGTTGTGTATAAAGAACAGTAGCTGACAAACCAGGCTTTCTTGGCAGAACCTTTACTCATAGAAAACACTGACTAGATTCACATAGTCTGTTTGGGGTGGGAAAGGAGTTAAATGCCCACACACATCTTTTTATAGACTAGGTAGTTGAGCCCTGGGTGGCTAAGGGGCCTGCTCTGTCGTAAGCCAACACTCTGATCATGTTTTTCTATAAAATGATGCAATGCTTTTAGAATATTTTCCCCTAGGAGTTCTTTCAGAAAATTAAACTGATTCTGATTCAAAAGCTATAATTTGTATTTTCCCATTCTGAATTAAAGAAAATGCTACATTCCATTAGGCTTAATGCATTTCTGAAACCCAGAAACATTGACTGTAGAATTATGTCACCGCCATTTTCTTCCCTTTGATGCTATTGGATTATGAACCCAGTGAATAGAAAGTCTCATCCAACCATCAAAGTCTAAATTGTGTCTTTTGTACTTTCAGTTGTATGACTTTAAAGATCCTGTTTTGACTAGCTTTTATTAGTGTCTATATAATTTTTTTTTAGTCCCCCAAATACCTAGTCTGGCAAATCTGAGTCACAGGGCTCATTTGCAATCAATCCAACTCTAGAGAGTGTTTCGTTTCCCCCTATGCCCCCAGAAGTGGATTTGAACTCAAGTCCTTGAACGAACCTACTAGACAAGTAAAGTGCTACCAAATTACATCCACCTTCCCCCTTTTTATTTCTTATTTTTAGTTAAATCTCACTTTACCCAGCCAGGCTGGTCTTGAACTTGTCATTGTCCTGTTTTAGCCTTCCCAGGTAGCTGGGGTTACAGGCCTGCACTCCTGGCTTGTAGCTGGATCTGACAAGGGAAAAAAGTAAAAGTAACATGGGGGTGGAGAGCAATGCTCCAAGAGGCGAGTGTTCATCATACATAGTTTTCTTTGAACACGGGAAGAAATCTCACATGTTGTCTCAGATAAGTGCCAGGACTGTTTGTTTGAAAGTGGATTTGTACACTGGATTCATCCTCCAAATGTGTCTAGTATGAAGCTTGAATGATCATAGGAACATTTATGTGAATGAATTACTTGTAGAAATGAAAGGCACATTGTATCCAAGATGCAGGTTAGGTAGTGGTACAAAGCACTCACCGGGTAAAAAGGTATTTTTACAACGTGTTGTGAGGAAAAGTAGCCAAGCTCAACATTCATGGTTAAGACCACACAGTCTGACGCAGTAGTAACCAGACAATGTGAATGATGGCAAGAAAGACAAAAGCTGAGAGTGTCTCTGCTGCCCAATCAGGGCCTACTATCGGCTGCTGGGACTCTGAATGCTCAGTACCCAACATGAAGCATCTCAATCAGGAGCCCACAGGACACTAAAGATCATGTCTTTGTTCCCAGCAGAAGTAACAACTTCACTCTCTGTTCCCACATCCTTGATAAAAGCTTTTTTTTTTTTTTTTTTTTTTTTGCTTATAGTTTATCAGGCCATCTTGGCTGTGAGTGTGTAGGAGAGAAGTTGTTTTCATTCTCTTCACTTACCTGGGGTCTGCCCACGCCTCAGGTACAGGAGATGACCAGTGACCAATAGCCAGGTTCTCTCCAGTCCCTCAGCTGGCAGCAGTAAGATGCACACGGGAGAGGGAGGTGAAATCATGCTGAATTAGAACAGAGTTCTCTCCCCAGGCAGCTGCGCAGCCAAGCAGCGTATTGGTCATGGCTTCTCTTTCCCAGCCCTCCCTCCCTTGGGCACAGGAACTTTCCAGCCTGTGTACTGCATGATGGTGCTCTTTGGTCCTCAGCCCCTGGGCAGCAGGCTCCCTGGCACCTGCCATTTACTCAGAATGCAAGTACACCTGGCCTCTGGTGGTTTGCTCCGAGTTTCAGAATGGCTCAGGTCCTCCTCGGGGAGATTGAGATCATGACTCACATATGCCGAGGATGAAAGAAAGGGAAGTAATCTCCAGAAAGAAAGGTTTGTGACGTGAAAGAGCACTTCTTCAGTTCACGCCAAAGAGCACACGCCATCCCTCTAGTTGCTTCCCCTGATGGAGGGGTCTGCCCCAGCTCTCCTACCTCAGGCTCCTTCCTCCTCAACTCCACCCCCAGCTTCAGAGGTCTGTCCTGGGATTCCTTTGGGGAGGTCTGCAGCACCAGGCACAGGAGCCTTGCCATGCCAGATTGGAGCAGACGGGCAGGGGTTTCTGGACAGTAGTGACTTAATATGGCATTGAGATTTGCCCTGTAAGATCTCTCTCAGTAATTCCTGTCAGAGCCTGATATGGTCACCTCTTCAGTTGTACCAGATTTCTTCAGAATGCTCCTTCCCTCTTCCTGATCATTTTCCTCCATGAATAGGTAGGAGCCCAGGTCTCCCTTACAGATATGCCATCCCACAAAAATAGGCAGCTTGCAGGGCTTGGAAGATGGCTTTCCATACAATCATGCAGAAAGTAGCTGAGTTAAAAATAGAACAAGAAAATGAATGAATGAATGAAGAGAGAGAAAGAAAGGAAGAGAGAAAGAAAGGAAGAGAGAAAAAAGAAAGAAAGAAAGGAATGAAGGAAGGAAGAAAGGAAGACTGAGAGAGAGAGAGAGAGAGAGAGAGAGAGAGAAAGAAAGAAAGAAAGAAAGAAAGAAAGAAAGAAAGAAAATGAGCCAGGCAGGGACCAAGCCAGACTTCAATCAGATACTGTCATGCTTATGTTTATCTTTCTTTCTTTCTTTCTTTCTTTCTTTCTTTCCTGACTTTAAACTTTAGCCCCTGCAACCTTCATCTCTGAAGAGGTAGAATTACAGGAAAGCTTTACCATACCCAATTTTGAGGTGTTTTTTTTGGGGGGGGAGTCTTATTTAAGGTTTCTATTGCTGTGAAGAAACACCATAACCCTGCAACTCTTAAACATTTAACTTGGGTGGCTTACTTACAGTTTAGAGGTTCAGTCCATAGCAACATGGTGAGACATGGCGATGTGAAGGCAGGCGTGGTACTGGAGAGGCAGTTGAGAGTTCTACATCTTTCAGGCAACAGAAAGTGGTCTGTGTATCACACTGAGCAAAGCTTGAACATATATGAGGCCTCAGAGCCCGCCTCCACAGTGACACACTTCCTCCAAAAAGGCTGTAGCTACTCCAATGAAGCCACACCTCCTAATAGTGCCCCTCCCTTTCAAACCACCACGTTCCACTCCCTGGCCCCCAAAGGCTTGGAGCCCTATCATAATGCAAAAGTGCATTCAGCCCAACTTCAAAAGTCCCCATGGTTTATAACAGTCCCAAACTTGTTTCAAAGTCCAAAGTCTCTTCTGAGATGAATAGCAGTCTCATAACTGTAATCATCTGTGAAAGCCAAAATCAAAAAGCTTATCACATACTTCCAACATATAACGGCACAGGATATACATTACCATTCCAAGATGTAGGGAAGAAAATATAGTCAGGAAATACCAGACCAAAGCAAAACTGAAAGCCAGCTGGGCAAACTCCAAATTGTGCATCTCCATGTCAGATGTCAAAACAATCTTCAGGTCTCCAACTCTGTTCAGCATTGTTGACTAACTCACTTGCTCTTGGCCTGGTTCCACTCCCTGTTAGCAGCTTTCCTCAGCAGGTATCCCATGGTTCTAGCATCTCCAACATCTTGGAGTCTCCAAGGCAACTCAGGCTTCAACTTCCCAGCTTCACTCAATAGCCTCTCTAGGCCTCCATTCAGGAACACCCCTAACACATGCCTGGCCTCAACAGCTTTCCTTAGGCTTGAAGGCAAATTCCATAACCCATTTCTTCTCTCCTTAACTCTAAAGCCAGAACAACGTGGCTGAAGCTGACAAGTTTTGCTGATTGCTAGGGCTGGGTCTACATCTTTCAGGCAACAGGAAGTGGTCTGTGTATTGCACTGAGCAAAGCTTGAGCGTATATGAGCATATATGGAACATATTTGAGACTCAAGACTCAAAGTCTGTCTCCATGGTTACACTTCCTCCAACAAGGCCATACCTCCCAATAGCGCCACTCCTTTGGGGGCCATTTTCCTTCAAACCACCACAGGGGGTAAATTTATTTTTATTATTACAAATTATTTGTATATGTGTGTGTATCTGCATGTGGGTATGTAGCCTCAGAAGCCAGAGGATCCCCTGGAGCTGGAGTTACAGCTAGTTCTGAATCACCTGACCTGGGTGCTGGAATGCCAAACTTGTGTCCTCAGGAAGAAAAGCACTACTGATAATCACCAAGACACTTGTATATACCAGGTTTTGTTTGTTTGTTGTTTGTAGGGGAAGCTGTTGCCAGCCCCTAAGAAGGCGTGGCTACAGCTTCCCCTACAATTCTACAGTTGTTGTTGCTGCTGTTTTTTTTGTTTTTGAGAAAAAGTCTCATGGGGTTTTTGTTTGTTGTTTTGGAAACAGCTTCTTTTTTAAAAAATTAATTTACTTTTATGTTATATGCAGTGGTGTTTTGCCATGGCTGTCGGATTCCCTGGAACTGGAATTACAGATAGTTATGAGCTGCCATGTGGGTGATGGAAACTGAACCAGCAGTCAGTACTCTTAACCACTGAGCCATCTCTCCAGCTCCAAGACAACTTCTTTTTACTGGGCCTTAGGAAGCCTTGAAGTCCCTCTTGCCTTAGCCTCCTGAATACTGAGATGACAAATTTGCACCACTGCCAAGCCCAGCTGATGGTTCATGTAATTGCATAATTTTTGTTTGCTTGTTTATTTTGCTGTTGGTGGTGGTTGGTGGTAGTAGGTTTTGCTGGTAATTTTTGTTGTGTTGTTTTGTTTTTGAAATTGAATCTAGCTACATAGCTAGTCCTATCTAACCTAGAACTCTCTATAGAGACCAGAGTGGCCCCAAACTCACAGAGATCTGCCTGCCTATGTGCTGTGGAATAATCCTTCCGTACACTGTGAAATGTGTTGCTCTCATTGTTAATAAAAAGCTGACTGGCCAATAGTTAGGCAAGATTTGGGGGACAGAGAGAATGCTGGGAAGAAGAAGAAGAGCAGAAACTGAGGAGTCACAAGCCAGACACTAAGCAACATGGGAAGTTCAGAGATGAGGTAAATGAGCCTGGGGCAGCACGTAGATGAATATAAATGGGTTAATTTAAGTTATAAGAGCTAGTTAGACACAAGCCTAAACTATCATTGAAGCATTTATAATTAATATTAAGTCTCTGTGTGGTTATTTGGGAGTGGCTACTGGGACACAGAAGAACTCTGCCTGTACCTGTGTGCTGAGATTAAAAGCCTGTACCACCACACCTATCCTTACGAAGCTCCTCTGCCCTCTGCTTCTACTGTATTGTTTATATAGAAGTCTCGAAGTCCAAAACATTTTAAAATCTGATTGTAATTTCTCTGGCAACCTTATTGGGTCAGAGTTCAGTTTAGCATGTTTAGGTCAGTCTTCCCACAGTGCAATCTGTGGATGAAGGTCGAAAAATGTTCCCTTGTGCCAAAGGATACACACAAACACTGAGATACACCACACGTTCTAGAAGCTGACAGCAGCCCCCTCTTCAGTGAGGACAATTGCAAACCCTCTGTGTAGTCCCCCTGCCTCCACATCCAAAGAGCTCTGTTTGTTTGGTCAGGTTTTTATTGAGGGGATAAAGTTTTGAGACAGCATCTTGATTACATAGCCCTACCTGATATTAAACTGTCTCTGCCTCTGCCACCCAAATGTTGGGCATGTCTCTTGTAGTTTGAGGTTTTGGTTTTGTTTTCATTTCATTTTCCAGTAACTCATTTATTGAATATTTATCAAAGTATTAGTCCAGAAAGAAAAAGCAAAACTTGCCTTTGACTGTGAATGGTTTCAGAAGACCTGCTTACTCCGGGGAGGGGCACAATGAACGCTCAAGTGTGAGAAGACCACTTCTGGGAGTGAAAACATACTTCAGCGGGTCCTGTTCCCATCTTGACCAGCAGCTATGATCTGTGAACCTAAGCAGAACCTTCTAACTTCTTGTTTTGGTCGTCCTAGGGAGTGAGCCCAGAGCCTCGTGCTCATACTGCCGACCGTGCTCCCAGATCACAACGTTATTACCCCTAGCACAAAGCACAGTCCCCAGCTGCCAGTTGCATGGCTATCTCTCCTCTTTCTTTGTTGTTGTTGTTGTTGAGTTGTGATCTCACTATGTAGTCCTGGCTGGCCTGGAACTTGCTATGTAGGCAATGATGGACTCAGTCTGTTTCCTGAGCACCAGGGGTATGCCCCACCATGCCCAACTCCATCTCGTATATTCTACAAGATTTTCCTCATCTAAACAAACACCCCCTCAGTCACTGCTAGCAAATCTTCTCTTGGTAGTGGTGGACTTTCAAGGGGTAGCAGATCTTTTCCCATTCAAACAATTCTGCAGCACACACACCCTCACACACACAAGCATCTGTGATGACTCTGTCACTAGACTGCTGTGAAATGCTGTTTTTCTTGTCAGTGTCATCAACTTCAGTTCTGAATATTATTATATCTTTTTTTGTTACAGAAGCAATCTATGCTTATTGTAAAAATTCAAATTATGCAGATATGCAACTTTATAGGTAAAAAAAAAAATACTCTATTGAAAGACCCCCGAAGAGGCACTTTCGTAGAGGGAGACCCACACACCCAGGAATCAGCGAGGCCACGAACTGGATGCAAAAAACAAGAGGCTTTATTGGAAACGCGGGTACCCGGGGCGACTTAGCCTTTGTGTGGCTAAGCGCCCCGAGCCAAGGGAAAGGGGTCCTTATATAGGGAAAAAGGCGCAAGCTAGGAGCAGGGATTCTATTTGATGGTTCAAATGAGGCACAGAGCCATTCCAGATCAGCATATTCTCAAGGTCTGGTGTCTGGTACAACAGGCTTGATTCCTCCCTCCGCGCCCAGGTGGCTGACCTTGGGGGTGGAGACCTTGGGACGGAGTGTTTCTCACAGGATGAAGGTGAAGCAGGGCAGCTCTGCGGCAGCTAGCAGCTCCCGGACAATTATCGCCCCGCGCTGCACTCTCCAGCCCATCCCGGCTGCTCCAGAGAGAACACCCAGCATCAGCATAGGCGGGGGGGTGAGACAGAGAGGCAGCGGGCCTTTCACTATAATCTCACTCTGCCCTGATACTTACCACCACTGAGAAGTCCAGTGTTTAATCTTTCAGTGAACATGTGTGTATTTTTAAAAGATAATATGGCATCTGACTGTATATTCTATACTGTAACTATCATCCTTAGATAGTAGAAGTGACTTATGGGTCGGGTGTTGGTGGCACACGCCTTTAATCCCAGCACTCAGGAGGCAGAGGCAGGCGGATCTCTGTGAGTTCGAGGCCAGCCTGAAGAAGAAGAAGAAGAAGAAGAAGAAGAAGAAGAAGAAGAAGAGGTGACGTATGACATGCCAGGCAAAGATTTCTGATATTAAAACAATAACAATTCAAAGTAATCTATTTGCAAAGCAAAGAGGAACTATGAATACCTATTTCCAGATTGTAGAATTGTGAAAACTCACTGATATGTAGCCATATGGCTTTGTTGTTACCCTGTTTCTGAGGTCTCAATCCTGTGGAATTTCAAATGAAGTTAACCATGGCTTCAACAATTCTGTGTGCTGGCAAAATCTGCAGAGCTTAACCTTGTCTGTTCAGTGGTCAGCAGAACTTCAAATTCAACCTCTTGTGGGATGTGACCCCACTTAACATTGTCAATTGCTCAGGATAGGTCCCCAGTAGGTTACTATGCTGTGGAACAATCTTTGTGCACTGTAAATATGTATTGCTCTCGTTGTTAATAAAAAGCTGATTGGCTGATGGCTAGGCAGGATTTTTGGGGAGCAGAGAATGCCAGGAAGAAGGGTGGAGTGAGAGGAGTCTCTAGCCAGATGGAGAGGAAGCAGGATATGCAGGAGAGGGAAAAGCCGTGAGCCTGGGGACAGCCCACAGATTAATAGAAATGGGTAAATTTAGGGTGTAAGAGCTAATTAGTAATAAGCCCGAGATATCAGCCAACTATTTGCAATTCATAATAAGTCTGTGAGTGATTACTTGGGAGCCACTGCCAGGGCACAGAGAGACTCTGCCTACATTACTAGATCCTTCCACCCCATCATTCCTTCTCAGAACTTTCCTGGTGCACCAAATCGTACTACTTACTAAGGTCTACTCGTACCTTTTAAAGTGGAAGAGAGACAGGAAAGTCTATCGTTAAGTCTAGTTTGCCGGGTGGTAGAGATGAATAACTTGTCATGTTGCTGTGGGATGGATTGTGTCTCCTGAAAAAGATTGAAAGCCTAAAGCCCAGCCCTAAGATTAGATTGCATTAGAGCCTTTGCCGATGGATTTAGTTCACACAAGGTCATCTTAATTCAATAGGAATCACATTGGCCCTGACCCCTATAGTGTTGCTGTCTTCAGGGAAGAGAAAAGACAGTAGCCTCATAAACACACACCACACATGCGTATGCATGCACACACATTAACTCTGGGTCTACATTGTGTCTCTTCAGTCTTAGAATAAAAACAAGCTAAAGAAGAACAGGATGATAATTAACTGTAGTTGCACATTCAGCAGTTTGCTCTAGGGACAAGTTCATACACACTCAGGGAACAGCAACAAAATGAAACCACCAGGGCTCACATCCTGCAGAGCATTCTGCTACCTGTGAGAGTTCAGCCAGCTCACCCCTGACATGGCCTCATCACCTCCCATCAGCCCACTTGAAGCAGCAGTCACTTTCCTCTTATAATGGCAGATGAGACAAAAACAAATTTCATCTAAGATAACCAAAAATCAAGTCTATTGACCGTGTTCCTTAGAAGATGAGCAGAACTAATAGTTTTCTAGAAAGTCTGGGTATCTCTGGATTGATCTGTTGGTGCCAGTTGCTTTGCAATTAATGCTTCGATTCCTCCATCTTTCTTTGGCTTTAGTTTTTCACAATTCATTTGCAAATGCATTTTCATTTAAAAGATTCAAGTAGTATCGGAATCCGTAGCAAAAAAGGTGGAAGTTCCCTTCCCTTCACCACATTGCCCCTGCCTCCCACTTCCGAGGTTGAAATCCTTTCGCCCTGTCTATCATTTGTTCTAATACATTTCCAATCACACCCCCATGCAGAGATGCAAAGGGAATTTTAAAAGTTAATAATAACACAAGTGTGGGGCTGGAAAGAGGACTCACTGGCTAGGAGCACTTCCTGTTCTTGCAGATGGCCAGGGTTTGGATCCCCGGCACCCATATCAGACAACTCACAACTACCTGTAACTACAGATTTATGGGCCTCTTCTAGCTTCAATTGACATTGGCATTCATGTAGTACACATACAAACAAGCAGGCAAACACACAAACAGATTAAAAAAGAAATGAAGACAGGGAATGGTGGCACAGGTCTTTAATCCCAGCACTTGGGAGTCAGAAAGCAGGAATCCTCTATGTGTTCAAGGCCAGTCTGGTCTACATATAAGTTCTAGGCCAATCAGAGGTGCCTCTATTTCTTTAGTACTGGCATTGCAATTGCCACCATATCCAGCTCTAGACATATATAGTGAAATCTCTCCTGAATTTCAACACTAAGCATGGGTTAGATTTAAATTAATCACCCATCCACCTATCCACCCAACCATTCCTTCATTCAAATAAAGTCTCTTTTAGAGAAAACAGCAAGAGGAGCGATTATTTATCAGGGTAGGTCATTCATCTGTAGCTCCCTTTGATGAAATGCCTTAGACGATGGCATGAGGCTATGATGTTGGATATTTAGTGAGGTTGCTTCAGAACCCTCACAAGTTTGTAGAAAATGAGGCGGCAACAGCACTTGCTGGTGAAAATGAGAAGAGTCAGGTTTTCAGACAGTTGGCTGCAAACCACCTCTCTATACATGTCAGATCCTCATTTGGAGTGCCTCAAATGGGATTGAAGGGACCAGCTCCCCATTTCGGCAGCCATAACAGCTGAACACGTGCTAGCCATGACCTTGCCTTGGTCACTAAGAGGAGAGATGGCTGCCTCATGGCAAGGAACTAATCAGAAGTTAGCTGGTGGCGCTATGCTTTACAGCTCTGGGTGTGCTTTACACACAAGTGCACAGCAATGACGTCAGAGCATATCAACCACCCTGGGAGGGCCTATGGGCCATAACAACCAGTTGACCAATCAACATAGGGCAAACCCTCCAAGCCTGGAGGCACACCAGGCTTGTTAGCTCAGGTCTTTCACCCACCCACCATAGTGGGATAGCTAGAAAAGACAGCTCGAAGCGGCTTCATAGAGATCTTGTAGGGCAGCATAAGGGGAGTGTCTAGGGGTACGCACAGGCTCAGGATTGGTGTGCCTCCAGGCTT